TTGAGGTTGCTGTGAGCTAGGATGACGCCACAGCACTCTAGCCCGGGCAACACAGTGAGACTCTATCTCAAAAAAAAACAAAACAAAAAAAAACCAGGGAGGGGAGGCAGAAAGGCAAACAAGACTGGGAGGGCAGGTCTTTGAAGTCCACATGGAAGGATTCCGCTTTCCAAACAACAGGAGGAATCAGATTTTTCTCTGTGGTCCTTGTGAGGGTTTCCTTAGTCCTCAGCCCAAGGTTAACTCCAGCCTTGAAGACCTCTGCTTGGCCCTTTCAGCAACATGGGTCCACCCAGCTGCATTTCAGGCGTTGAAGAATTCACAGTTCGTAGAAGCTTCAAGATAGTTTTGCCTGCATGTTCGCACTGTTCTTTCTACCTTATATTCCCATCTATGTTTTTGAAATCAGGCCCCATCTGTATATTTGTAATTGACTTTTGTGAATGGTGTTGGTTTTCAGCTGATCCTTTGTAGAGGACACCAATTAAATCTGTAAATGTACAACATAAATCAATAAATCCCAATCACCGTTATTAAAATGTTCCACAGGAGTATTTTTGCTAAGTCATCCTTACCTTTGTATTTTGAAAGGGAAAAACAAAGTCTATTTTGCTGGAGTAGGCTTTTTTGTCCCCTGGTATCTCTGACTCTATTTGGTTCCAAATTCCAATTTGAGTGATCTCCAGGGCAAGCAAGCCATAGAGTCTTGTAGTTCAGACAGCGAGGGCTTGGCCCAAGTGAGGGTGTAAATACTCAGATCCCAATAGGCAGACTTTCAGCCTGTGCCCCTCCTCAGCATGCTTTTGAGGGCTACAGTTTAAAGTCAGGGCCTCTCGGTTTTCTCAATTCCATTTGAAATGCAAAGTAATAAATGTGTCATAATATACTGTCAATATGGAATATATAACAGCAGAAACTGGCTCAAAGCTTTCTTGTGACAGTCTAAAAAAAAAATGTCCAAATGATATGATGGGTAAAGAGAAATTGGGATACTTGTTCCAGGTAGGGTCCTGGGCTGAGCTCTGGGTGGACAGGACTGGATGTCAGCAGTAGCAGCTAGAGCCAAGGGTGCCCCAGGAACCTGAAGTATAAGAAGAGGCAGGCTGGGCGCAGTGGCTCACGTCTGTAATCCTAGCACTCTGGGAAGCCAAGGCAGGAGGATTGCTTGAGCTCAGGAGTTCGAGACCAGCCTGAGCAAGAACGAGAGACCCCATCTCTACTAAAAATAGAAAAATTAGCTGGGTGTCATGTCGTGCACCTGTAATCCCAGCTACTTGGGAGGCTGAGGCAGGAGGATCGCTTGAGCCTAGGAGTTTTAGGTTGCTATGAGCTAGGCTGATGCCAC